AACGTGCGGTGTAATGTCCCTTTGTGCCACCAGAGTGACACTGGCGCTGTCGTCCTCCGCTCTCTCGGATCGCGGTTTCATCCAGTTCCATCAGCTCGGGATCCGAGTCGGCTGGGGTGGGAATGGGCAGACCCCATCCAGGACATCCTCTGGCTGCCAGCAGGTTGTCCAAACGGATGGCCATATCCACCAGTTGCGTGAAGGACAACATGGTGTCCCGGCAGGCTAGCTCCCTTTGGACGTCCTCCCGCAGATGGCACCGGAAGTGGTCAATAAGGGCCCGCTCGTTCCACCCGGACCCAGCTGCTAGAGTCCAAAACTCCAAGGCAAAGTCCTGCGCAGTCCTCGGCCCCTGCCTCAGGTGGACCAGCCACTCGCCCGCCTCTCGACCCTCGGGCGGGTGATCAAAGACAGCTTGAAATAGGTGAGCGAACTCCCCGTAGTTGTCCAACGCGGTTCCTCCTTCGTTCCAGACCGAGTTGGCCCACTCCAGGGCTTTCCCTGAGAGGCAGGAAACGAGGGCGGACACCTTCTCCCGCTCCGATGGGGCCGGCCTGATGCTGGAGAAGCAGAGCTCCAGTTGGAGGAGGAATCCTTGGCAGAGAGCAGCTGTCCCGTCAAACTCCCGTGGTCAGGATATATGGATCCCTCTGAGTGCTGGGGTATGGGTGGCTGGATCCGGTTGCCCAGCTGGTCTCGACAGATTGGGTCCTCTCCTCTCCAGGCGTTGGACGATCTGAAGAACCCGATCCATTGCTTCTCCCAAGCTGGCTAGCATCGTTGAATGCTCCTGGACCCGTGCCACGACTCCAGGCATGCGCTCCTCTCCCGCTGACTCCATAGCGGGTGGGTGATTCTGTGAGAGTGTGATTTGAAGGAGTCAGGCGCAGGAGGGTAAATCACAGAATACAGAGTTATTCCGTCGTACACAGTTACGCTGGATAGCGTCAACAGTCCAGTGCACAAAACAGGCGCACTGGAACAAATACAGGCACACAGGGAAAATATACACCGGCAATACAACGTACAGGTAGCTCCACCGAGCTACACTCATCTCACATGAAACAATCAGCCACAAGGACAAGGGGGCAGAGGAAACACTTATACATGTACTAATGAGGGGAATATGAACCAGGTGTGTGTAATTGACAAGACAAGACAAATGGAATGATGAGATATGGAGCGGCAGTGGCTAGAAGGCCGGTGACGATGAACGCCGAAGCCTGCCCGAACAAGGAGGGGAGGCAGCGTCGGAGGAAGTCGTGACAGCCCGGCCATCTAGATGTGTGAAAGTTAGTGGATAAGCTAATGATCCATCATGTATGACATTCCTGGGAGTGTATAAACTTATTTTTTGTATTACAATATCATTTTTGTATGTTCTTTATAGTTATGTACTTGAAAATGTATCAATTGACCAATTCGGCACATTTGGGCAGACTTGATTCAAAATAGTCCAGTATTGCAATGCTTCACTGGATCAAACTGGAACTTTGCACACGCACTGCTGCCATCTATTGGCCAAAATCTAAATTGCGCCTAAACTGCAATATTTTATTGTGGCCTTTCTCTTTTCAAAGATGATGGAAAAAAAAAAAAAATAGAAAACGCATGTTTTTTTGTTTGTATTATCTTTTACCAGATCTAATGTGTTATATTATCCTACATTAATTTCACATTTCCACAAACTTCAAAGTGTTTCCTTTCAAATGGTATGGCATTTTAGGCGAAAATTGAAAAAAAAGGGTCCAGTTACTAAAATCTGCCAGCAGTAATTGTCCGACAGTTGAAATGTCTACCTCGTGTATTTTAGTGTGTTTTCTTTAGCATACAGTACCAGTCAAAAGTTTGGACACACATACTCATTTGAGGGTTTTTTATTTTTACTATTTTTTTACATTGTAGAATAATAGTGAAGACATCAAAACTATGAAATAACACATATGGAATCATGTAGTAACCAAAAAAGTGTTAAACAAATCAAAATATATTTTATATTTATATACATCCTTTGCCTTGATGACAGCTTTGCACACTTTTGGCATTCTCTCAACCAGCTTCATGAGGTAGTCACCTGGAATGCATTTCAATTAAGAGGTGTGCCTTGTTAAAAGTTAATTTGTGGAATTTCTTTCCTTCTTAATGCTTTTGAGCCAATCAGTTGTGTTGTGACAAGGTAGGGGTGGTATACAGAAGCTAGCCCTATTCGGCAAGAACAGCTCAAATAAGCAAAGAGACATGAAGGTCAGTCAATATGGAAAATGTCAAGAACTTTTTAAAGTTTCTTCAAGAGCAGTCACAAAAACCATCAAGCGCTATGATGAAACTAGCTCTCATGAGGATCGCCACAGGAATGGAAGACCCAGAGTTACCTCTGCTGCAGAGGATAAGTTAATTAGAGTTACCAGCCTCAGAAATTGCAGCCCAAATAAATGCTTTGCGGAGTTCAAGTCACAGACACATCTCAACATCAACTGTTCAGAGGGGACTGTGTGAATCAGGCCTTTATGGTCGAATTGCTGCAAAGAAACCACTACTAAAGGACACCAATCAGAAGAAGAGACCTGCTTGGGCCAAGAAACACGAGCAATAAACATTAGACTGGTGGAAATGTGTCCTTTGGTCTGGAGTCCAAATTGGAGATTTTTGTTTCCAACTGCCGTGGGTTTGTGAGACGCGGTGTGGGTGAACGGATGATCTCCACATGTGTATTTCTCACCGTAAAGCATGGAGGAGGAGGTGTTATGGTGTGGGGGTTCTTTGCTGGTGACACTGTCTGTGATTTATTTAGAATTCAAGGCACACTTAACCAGCATGGTTACCACAGCATTCTGCAGCGATACGCCATCCCATTTGGTTTGGGCTTAGTGGGACGATCATTTATTTTTCAACAGGACAATGACCCAACACACCTCCAGGCTATATAAGGGCTATTTTACCAAGAAGGAGAGTGATGGAGTGCTGCATCAGATGGCCTCCACAATCCCCCGACCTCAACCCAATTGAAATGGTTTGGGATGAGTCGGACGGCAGAGTGAAGGAAAAGCAGCCAACAAGTGCTCAGCATATGTGGGAACTCCTTCAAGACTGTTGGAAAAGCATGCCAGGTAAAGCTGGTTGAGAGAATGCCAAGAGTGTGCAAAGCTGTCGTCAAGGCAAAGGGTGGCTATTTGAAGAATTTCAAATATAAAATTTATTTTGATTTGTTTAACACTTTTTTGGTTACTACATTATTCCATATGTGTTATTTCATAGTTTTGATGTCTTCACTATTATTCTACGATGTAGAAACTAGTAAAAATAAAGAAAACCCCTTGAATGAGTAGGTGTGTCCAAACTTTTGACTGGTACTGTATATCATATAACTGTCTGAGTCATCTCCAGTAGGCCTGCTGAGAAAATTGTTTCCAACTTTCTGAAGAAAATTGGTTTTCTGTTGGAACAAGCCTGGGTGTATGGATTCAGATTAACACAGAGCACACACACACATGCAGGCACACAAGGACACACAAGCCAACCCCATATCTAGCCTTGTGTTTGAGTGTATGTGTGATGAGATAAGGGGATTACAGTGTCAGTGTGGTGGTTCTGGTGAGACTGACTAACATGGCAAGCTCTTCAGTAATCCTCATAATCCATCTGGACGCAATGGCTGCCCCCTGACCCTCCCTGGCCCACACACGCAAGAAGGGGTGCACACACATCACACACGCACACACACACACCACTTGTAGCCTATACTTGTTATACTGTTCACTACAAGCGCATCTTGACTACCGGCTGACAGGAGGTTACAGAAACTGCCTTAAATCCAGGAGTTACAACCCGTGACACCCTACCGCTGTTGCGAAGTGAAATAATGCAACTTTATAAACTATCCATTCACCCTGGAACCACAGGAGATTCAGGACATCTGCTCGCGTAGTGCCACGTCCTTTCACAACGTCGTGTGCTCGTGCTGGTCTCTCCACATAAAACTACTGTCTCTTGTCATGCAGAAAAGCACTTGTTCTAGCGGTATATATTGTGATGCTAATTCCAATGGCAGTAAACAGATGTTGTGTTGAAGCTGCCATGTTATCCATATGTTTGGGGTGTATAAAAGGATGTTTAAAACGCTATCATAATATTTGCTTCTGCATTTCAATGGGTTGGATAGAGGATTCGGCTACTTCGCCAACAGGCACATTTCAGTGCCAAATGTTGATTTCTTTCAACAATTCCAGTCTGTTAAAGTAATTTTAAAAAATAGTAGATTTTTGTAATTATGTCATGTAACAAAAGGCTATCATATTTTCAAGTTTTAAATATTAAACGCAAAACACTTGTCTGAAAACCTAAAGTTATAATCAGCCTACATTATAAGGTTGCTTTAACGCATGTAGCCATGATGAGTGAATTGTTTGTAGGCTTATAACTCGTCATTGGAAATCAAATCAACAGATAATAGGTAATTATCTCTCTCTATAGTTTGCTAGGATTGGTCGGCTCTATTGTCAATCATACGCCCCAAGCCTAAGGGGGATGCATGGGATGTAGCCTACTCATCTATTCGCGGTAGTGCGCTCCCTCTCGCTCACTTGCCTGTTGGCCAAGTGATGGAAACAACAGCGGAGTCTTTCTTGGACGCACAGCGCGCGGACACACCTGACGCGAGTATCTTTTCGTTTCGTTTGGAATTCAGTATGAACCGAGCTGGAAAGGAGATGCATTTATCACTAAATAATAAGAAGTCCGTTATAATTAGTGTACAGGCAAGTTGTGGAATTATGTCAATTTCACCAGCATTTTTGCAGTGGAAGAGGAGCGAATAACTTTAGCCAATATGCGTTTTTGGATGTTGTCTCGTCTCGCCCGACTGTCCTATGGAATATAGCCCAATATATCACAACCTACATGTTGTCTCATCATCCCCCGTGAAGAATAAACTCTTTGTTTTCTGCATCATGTTGTCCCTGTGGGTGTATATGATCTATTGCTGCGTCGGATACTGTTCAACCATGCCAAGTCTGATGGTCAGTACAGCCAGCAGTAAACATTCACAACATCACGAAGAAGTGGACCCCAACAGAACTCAACCCCGACTCCAAAACGAAGTGGACTTGGAATCCGGACACCAAGAAGATCCGTTAGATTCTTTAGATCCGCTATTCGGCGTATCATCCAGGGACTTGTTAAATAATGAGAATGATTTGGACAGCAGAAGAGGGGAGGACTGGGATGAGATTCGAAGCGAGCAGAGGACGTTGGATAATAATGTCGTGTCAAGTCTCTTCAACGAGTCAGGGCCGTCGGAGAGTAAGAAATTGCCCCAAGCGATTATCATCGGGGTGAAGAAGGGAGGCACGCGGGCGCTGCTGGAGTTCCTCCGCGTGCATCCTGACATCAGAGCTGTCGGGGCCGAGCCGCACTTCTTTGATCGGAACTATGACAAGGGACTGGAGTGGTACAGGTACATTTCATACACTTAATAACGTTAACTGATTAGAATATAAACAAATGATATATGGACTACTGATGTAATTCATAATTTGCCATTTAAATGAGCCCATCTATTTAATTTTTTATCCATCTTAATTTCTAGGCTATTAATCAGTCTATAGCACATGCATATGTCACAGGTTGGCTAGAATGATAATGTATATTGAGCTGTGAGTTGACTTGTCGATTAATGGGTTTCTGATATATATACCGTTATTTTTAGAGAGTCACAAAGAACATCAAACAAATCCTGAAGGCTGCCAGTGAGTTCCCTGGCCTCTATATCTCTTCATATAACTACTAGAGGACTAATTCATACAGTGTCTTTAAAACACCTCTAACATAACATGGAACAGTAAGATTAGATGGACATATGGCCATTGTGCTGAGTGGAAACAAAAAACAGATTGATTAGCATGGATTAAAACACACACACATACACACGCACACACAAACACCACACACAAACACATGTTAATATAGAATAGAAATAGGCCTACTCCACACAATGGTAACAATTCGTTAAAGTGATCAGATCCTGTAGTTAAGCCATGTTGAAACTAGAACATTAGTGTAATTAAAGTAGTGACCATTCATTATGGCTTGTGTGGTTTCACACAAGCCAATATGAATGTGTAGACACTATGGGTATCCAATGGAATGTGTTTATGAATGTATATCTTGTTCAGGTGAAAATGAAACACATTTTCATTGGGCCAATAAAGCTATAATAAAGCTATAATAAGGCTATAGGTCTCTCCTCACAGTGTCATAAGTGTGAACTGAGGAATGTATCACTCTAACAGCTGACTACCACCTTGGTGTACTAAAAGAGTCCATATAAATTATAGGCCTGAGTCATAGGTAGAGTCCCAAATGGCACCATATTCTCTAGTGCATTACTTCTGACCAGGGCCCATAGGCTCTGGTCAAAAGAAGTGGACTATGTAGGGAATAGGGTGCAATTTGGGGACGCAGTCTATAATGGCCTAATAAAAGGGTCCATATTCAATGCTGCACCTTAAATGACTCATAGAAACTGACTTGTTTGACAGTTCCTTCTTAGAGCTCAGACAAACATTATTCAGCTTCCATTCAGTTTGACAGTTCCTTCTAGAGCTCAGACAAACATTCTAGAGCTTCTATTCAGTTTTGATTCTGGAGTTTAGACCCAAACAGCACATGGTTTACAGGTCAACAGGTTAAATCTCCTGGTAGCCAGAAGCATCGTAATTCAATTGAGTGCTCCCGGTTCCAGGTATTGATTCTTAGGCTGTAATTCCCTTTACAACAATACAGCTTTAACCATGCCTTGTTCCCAAATGGCACCCTATTCCCTAAATAGTGCACAACTTTTGACCAGAGCTCATAGGGTTCATATCAAAAGTAGCACACTATATAGGGAATAGGGTGCCATTTGGGACACATACAATTACTTAATTTCAAATTCCAGGGATTCAAAGCTATAGGAACACTGAACAGTTAGCCCAGTATTCAACAATGTGTGGTTGTAATGATCAATATGTCAGTGCATCTCAGTGAGTTCCCAGTGTTAGCTATACCTGTTGTAGCCCACAGCATCACCACAGGCTTCTCTCAGTTGTAAACAACTAACCTGTTCCTGATTCAATCATTGACATGACCGCTGTAAAGTATCAGAGTGACATGTAGAGTTAAATAGTTTAAGGAATTCTGTGGTTTTGATTGAAGACAGAAAACAGCAGATGAGCCACTTTATCAACATTTAAACATGTATCTTTGTTGGTTTCTTTGAGGAGCCATCTAAATTGACTTGAGCCATGGAGATTAGCAGTCAATGTCAAAGGCTTCTTAATGCTACTATAGTTCAAAGCTGTCTTCATAAAGCTTTCTTCATAACCCTACAATGGGGGAAGTGAGGGGAGCAATGTTCAAAGGACTTCTGGGTTAAGCTGCTCCAAGAATTTCCAGACAGTTTTAGGACACTTGTGTTGAGGTTGACCACCGCACTGTGAGAGGGCAGAGGAAGGATCTTTAGTGCATATTCACTGACTGAGAAAAAAGAGAACACATTTAACAAGGAACAGACAGTTTCTTCTTCTGGTGTTTTATGGAGTCTATAAGTATCATATTTCATTACTCAATCAGTCACTGTTCAATCAGAATGGCAATCTGATGTAATATAATCTGTGTTGCAAAGAATGTAATATGATCTGTATTGATCATAGAAGCTGGAGGCTATTGGCATAGATAATGAGCTGGAAGACAGTAGCGTCTGAATGACAACTGACATATTTATGTTTGTTGAAGGTGAACATGCAACAGCTCATCCTATCGCTCAGAACAGGTATTTCTAAACACATTAGAGCTGCAGGTTCATAGACGTACTATACAGCTGCTTGTTGTTGTACCCATGACCGTACCCATGACACAGTGGGAAAACACAGTGCAGTTGTATCTGTAGGATTTAATGAAAGAACCCTGTAGCTGATTCCCTGGAGTGGTTGTTAGGTTAATTAAAACCCCTCAGCTTGAGTAAGCCCAGCCAGACCATTCAGACCCCAGTCAGACCAGAGCACCATAACCTCAGACAGCCAAGGAACACTACAGCGACCACTTAATGATGGTTCTGTTCAGGGACTAGGGAGAGAGGGAGGGGAAACCCCAGAGGTCTCTGTACTAATGACCATCACTAGTGACCATCACCACCCTGGACCAACAGAGGCATCTCCCTCTACTCTGTCTTTTAGTGAAGTCACAGTGGAGGGAGAGAGGGCCAAGGTCACATGATCATCCACATACCAACCAGCAAACTTACTGTTAAAACATTCTAGATGCTCAGAAAGGGTGCCAGTTATTCGGTGCTTACTTGAGCTGGCCTAACTCTTTCACCATGGAGGATAGTCCTCTTACCATTAGGTTAGTTATTTCAGTGTTGGTCCTAACTTGATCCTTAGGAGGGGATGGAGAGGGAGAGGGTATAGATATGGTGTGGCTTTACTGCCTCTTCAAAAGCCTCCACCACTGTCTAATTATCAGTCAGTTGCCTGGGGAGAAGAGGTGCAGGGGAGGGAATGAGGGGGCTGAGGAGAAGCTCTGCTGGGTGGCCTGGTCCAGGCCCCAGTCCCCCGTGGAGGCATTGATCTCTGCTGCCCACATCTCCACACTGTTGGTCCAACACAGAGGAGTGCTGTAGAAGCCCCTCCCCCCCGCAGTCTAGAGCCACACATCATGGAACAGTGACTTGAATGGGGATTCTCATCTAGTCATTCTATTTCTATGGCCAAGGCCTGTCGTAGCGGGGACTCCAGCCACAGATATAGCCAGTTGGCCACGCTTTTCACAGAATATAGACACGCTTTCACAGAATATAGACACGCTTTCACAGAATATAGACATGCTTTCACAGAATATAGACACGCTTTCACAGAATATAGACATGCTTTCACAGACTATAGACATGCTTTCACAGAATATAGACATGCTTTCACAGAATATAGACACGCTTTCACAGAATATGGACACGCTTTCACAGACTATAGACACGCTTTCACAGAATATAGACACGCTTTCACAGAATATAGACATGCTTTCACAGAATATAGACATGCTTTCACACAGAGGCAGAAAGACAGGAGCCGCCAGACAAATTGTAGGCTACACGCTCACTCATACAGGAGGATGGGAGGGAGCGCGGGAGGAGGGAACTCTAAAAGACGTGGGAATGTTTTCCCATTCCGACCTTCCTCCTCCTTTTGCTATAAGTCACTGTTTTATTTCCCAGTTAGACTTCTTGACTTATTCTCTTCTTGCTACTATGCATTTAGAGAGGAGGACAGAGGACAGAGGACAGAGGACAGAGGACATCTGGGCACCACATGCTGCTGGAAATAAAAGGCATGAAGTGATCCTGGAAAACGGCCCTATTTTGTTGAAATATGATAGTGTGGGGTTTTTCTATTCTCGTCAGTTTCCAGATTTCCTTTTTTTGTGAAACAATGATTGGTTGTATTCTAATCCTCTCCTTGCTCTCTCACTGACATTGTCAGAGGAAGGGAAACAGTTATTCTAACCCCAAACAGAGCTGCAGGGGAGCTGGGTTGGAGCTGGGTCGGCGCTGGGTCGGAGCTGGGTCGGAGCTGGGTCGGAGCTGGGTCGGCGCTGGGTTTGGGATAGGTAGATAGAGAGAGAGAAGTGTCTGAGTCCCAAACGGCACCCTATCCCCTATATAATGCACTACTTTTGACCAGAGCATTATGGGCCCTGGTCAAAAGTAGTGCATTTTCTAGGAAACAGAGTGCTGTTGGGGACGCAGCCAGAGAGAGTGCAGTACATTGAAAGTGAGTCTTTAGAAGCTGCAGCGGCGGTGGGGGTATACAGCTGAAAGAGGAGCAGAGGAACCCCTGGGGTTTATATTAACCCTAGTGATAATAGAACATGGCAATTAGAGTGAAACGTGTTTTCTCTTCACTTCACGTTGTATGCAAATGTCCCTCAGGAGAGGGAAAGTTATTTTTCAACCAACACAGCTTGAACCCTTCGGAACGTTGCCTGCAAATGGAATTCTGGCTTCTGGAACTCTGAGGCCAGCAGGATGGGTCGATTGTTAACACTAAGCCTCAGGGTTCGCTATTCTGATCTGAAAGTTGACTCTCCTCCTGAGGTCTTTCAGAATGAGAAGTTGCATTTCCCTTGAGGTAGTTCATACAAGTCCACTTGGTTTTCTTTTTGCTGACTCAACAAACCCTTAGTATTTTTCATGGACATAGGGGAATAAAATAGTTTAAGAAGCGGGAAAGCCCTCCATGTAGATACTTCCCAGCCAGATTCAATACATCAGCATATTGATAGGCAGGAAAAGAACAAAATCTCTGTTGAGAATGAGGAAAGGGCCCAAAGGGGGGTACAGGGCTAGGTATTGAAACATGCTGCCATTTGTTTCTGAAAATTCCTGAAATAGTTGGCTTTTAGCTAACTCAGCTGTGTGAACAGCATTGGTTAAGACCTACTTTTATTTCTTGAAGTTCAACAGCTGGAAAACTAAAGTTAATCTCTCAACAAACAGGTGGTAAAACCTGTTTTTTTTTATTGGAGGTTATCAGACCATAAACATTTTGTCAGACACTTAGAAGTACATGGAAACATTAAGAGGTTCAGTTCAGTTGTTTAGTTCTCTCCTTCTCTATCCTCCTGGAGTTGTTGTTTAGTTCTCTCCTCTATCCTCCTGGAGTTGTTGTTTAGTTCTCTCCTCCTCTATCCTCCTGGAGTTGTTGTTTAGTTCTCTCCTTCTCTATCCTGTTGTAGTTGTTGTTTAGTTCTCTCCTTTTCTATCCTCCTGGAGTTGTTGTTTAGTTCTCTCCTTCTCTATCCTTCTGGAGTTGTTGTTTAGTTCTCTCATTCTCTATCCTTCTGGAGATGTTGTTTAGTTCTCTCCTTCTCTATCCTCCAGGAGTTGTTGTTTAGTTCTCTCCTTCTCTATCCTCCTGGGGTTGTTGTTTATTTCTCTCCTTCTCCATCCTCCTGGAGTTGTTGTTTAGTTCTCTCCTTCTCTATCCTGTTGGAGTTGTTGTTTAGTTCTCTCCTTTTCTATCCTCCTGGAGTTGTTGTTTAGTTCTCTCCTTCTCTATCCTTCTGGAGTTGTTGTTTAGTTCTCTCCTTCTCTATCCTCCTGGAGTTGTTGTTTAGTTCTCTCCTTCTCTATCCTCCTGGGGTTGTTGTTTAGTTCTCTCCTTCTCTATCCTCCTGGAGTTGTTGTTTAGTTATTTCCTCTATCCTCCTGGAGTTGTTGTTTAGTTATCTCCTTCTCTATCCTCCTGGAGTTGTTTTTTAGTTCTCTCCTTCTCTATCCTCCTGGAAATGTTGTTTAGTTCTCTCCTTCTCTATCCTCCTGGAAATGTTGTTTAGTTCTCTCCTCCTCTATCCTCCTGGAGTTGTTGTTTAGTTATCTCCTCCTCTATCCTCCTGGAGTTGTTGTTTGTTCACTCCTTCTCTATCCTCCTGAGTTGCTCTGAGTTGTGTTTAGTTCTCTCCTCCTCTATCCTCAGGAGTTGTTGTTAGTTCTTCCTCTTTATCAAACTGGAGTTGTTGTTTAGTTTTCTCCTTCTCTATCCATCCTGAGTTCTGTTGTTTAGTTCTCTTCCTTCTCATCATGTTGGAGTTGTTGTTTAGTCTTCCTTTTCCTATCCTCCTGGAGTTGTTGATTTAGTTCTCTCCTTCTCTATCCTTCTGGAGTGTTGTTTTGTTCTCTCCTTCTCTATCCTCCTGGAGTTGTTGTTAGTTATTCGCCTTCTCTATCCTCCTTGGGGTTGTTGTTAGTTCTCTCATTCTCTATCCTCCTGGAGTTGGTTGTTTAGTTATTTCCTAATCCTCCTGGAGTTGAGTTGTTGTTTAGTTATACCTCTCATCCTCCTGGAGTTGTTGTTTAGTTCTCTCCTTCTCTATCTCTGGAAAGGTTGTTTAGTCTCTCCCTCTATCAACTGGAAATGTGTTAGTCTCTCCCTCCTCTATCCTCCTGGAGTTGTTGTTTAGTTATCTCCTCCTCTATCCTCCTGGAGTTGTTGTTTGTTCACTCCTTCTCTATCCTCCTGAAGTTGTTGTTTAGTTCTCGCCTTCTCTATCCTCCTGGAGTTGTTGTTTAAGTCTTTCCTCCTCTATCCTCCTGGAGATGTTGTTTAGTTCTCTCCTTCTCTATCCTCCTGGAGTTGTTGTTTAGGTCTCTCCTTCACTATCCTCCTGGAGTTGTTGTTTAGTTCTCTCCTTCTCTATCCTTCTGGAGTTGTTGTTTAGTTCTCTCTTCTCTATCATCCTGGAGTTGTTGTTTAGTTCTCTCCTTCTCTATCCTCCTGGAGTTGTTGTTTAGTTCTCTCCTTCTCTATCCTCCTGGAGTTGTTGTTTAGTTCTCTCCTTCTCTATCCTCCTGGAAATGTTGTTTAATTCTCTCTCTTCTCTATCATCCTGGAGTTGTTGTTTAGTTCTCTCCTTCTCTATCCTCCTGGAAATGTTGTTTAGTTCTCTCCTCCTCTATCCTCCTGGAGTTGTTGTTTAGTTCTCTCCTTCTCTATCCTCATGGAGTTGTTGTTTAAGTCTTTCCTCCTCTATCCTCCTGGAGTTGTTGTTTAGTTCTCTGCTTCTCCATCCTCCTGGAGTTGTTGTTTAGTTCTCTCCTTCTCTATCCTCCTGGAGTTGTTGTTTAGTTCTCTCCTTCTCTATCCTTCTGGAGTTGTTGTTTAGTTCTCTCTTCTCTATCATCCTGGAGTTGTTGTTTAGTTCTCTCCTCCTCTATCCTCCTGGAAATGTTGTTTAGTTCACTCCTTCTCTATCCTCCTGGAGTTGTTGTTTAGTTATCTCATTCTCTATCCTCCTGGAGATGTTGTTTAGTTCTCTCCTTCTATATCCTCCTGGAGTTGTTGTTTAGTTCTCTCCTTCTCTATCCTTCTGGAGTTGTTGTTTAGTTCTCTCCTCTATCCTCCTGGAGTTGTTGTTTAGTTCTCTCATCTATCCTCCTGGAGTTGCTGTTTAGTTCTCTCCTTCTCTATCCTTCTGGAGTTGTTGTTTAGATCTCTCCTCCTCTATCCTCCTGGAGTTGTTGTTTTATTTATCTCCTCTATCCTCCTGGAGTTGTTCTTTAGTACTATCCTTCTCTACCGTCCTTGAGCTGTTTTTTAGTTCTCTCCTCCTCTATCCTCCTGGAGTTATTGTTTAGTACTCTACTCTATCCTCCTGGAATTGTTGTTTAGTTCTCTCCTTCTCTATCCTCCTGGAGATGTTGTTTAGTTCTCTCCATCTCTATCCTCCCGGAGTTGTTGTTTAGTTCTCTCCTTCTCTATCCTTCTGGAGTTGTTGTTTAGTTCTTTCTTCTCTATCATCCTGGAGTTGTTGTTTAGTTCTCTCCTCCTCTATCCTCCTGGAAATGTTGTTTAGTTCACTCCTTCTCTATCCTCCTGGAGTTGTTGTTTAGTTCCCTTTCCTCTATCCTCCTGGAGTTGTTGTTTAGTTCTCTCCTATATCCTCCTGGAGTTGTTGTTTAGTTCTCGCCTTCTCTATCCTCCTGGAGTTGTTGTTTAGTTCTCTCCTTCTCTATCCTCATGGAGTTGTTGTTTAGTATTCCTCATTATCCTCCTGGAGTTGTTGTTTAGTTCTCTCCTTCTCTATCCTCTGGAGTTGTTGTTGAGGTCTCTCCTTCTCATCCCCTGGGTGTTGTTTAGTTCTCTCCTTCTCTATTCCCTTCTGGAGTTGTTGTAGTTCTATATCTCTATCATCCTGGAGTTGTTGTTTAGTTCTCTCCTTCCTATCCTCTGGAGTTGTTGTTTAGTTTCTCCTTATCATCCTCCTGGAGTTGTTGTTTAGTTCTCTCCAACCACCCCCCCCCCGGTACGCGGCCCCCTTCTTCCTGAGTGTGTTTCTTCTCTCATCTTCCTCCTGAAGTTTCTGTTTAGTTCTATACTCCTCATCCTCATGGAGTTGTTGTGTAGTTCTATCCTTCTCTATCTCATGGAAATGTTGTTATCTCTCTCTTCTCTATCATCCTGGAGTTGTTGTTAGTTCTCTCTTCTCATCCTCCTGGAAGGGTCTCCTCCTCTATCCTCCTGGAGATTGTTGCTGTAGTTCTTCCTCCTCCTTCTCTATCCTCCTGGAGTTGTTTGTTTAAGTCTTTCCTCCCTCTTATCCTCCTGGCGTTGTTGGTTTAGTTCTCTGCTTCTCTCATCCTCCTGGATGAGTTGTTGTTTAGGTTCTCTCTCCTTCTCAATCCTCCTGGAGTTTGTTTGTTTAGTTCTCTCCTTCTCTATCCCTTCTTGGAGTTGTTTGTTTCAGTTCTCTCTTCTCTATCATCCTGGTAGTTGTTTGTTTATTGTCTCTACCCTCCTCTAGGCCTCCTGGAAATGTTGTTTAGTTCTCTCCTCCTCTATCCTCCTGAGTTGTTGTTTAGTTCTCTCCTTCTCCTCCCTCCTGGAGTTGTTGTTTAAGTCTTTCCCTCCTCCTATCCTCCTGGAGTTGTTGTTTAGTTCTCTGCTTCTCTCCATCCTCCTGGAGTTGTTGTTTAGTTCTCTCCTTCTCTATCCTCCTGGAGTTGTTGTTTAGTTCTCTCCTTCTCTATCCTTCTGGAGTTGTTGTTTAGTTCTCTCTTCTCTATCATCCTGGAGTTGTTGTTTAGTTCTCTCCTTCTCTATCCTTCTGGAGTTGTTGTTTAGTTCTCTCTTCTCTATCATCCTGGAGTTGTTGTTTAGTTCTCTCCTCCTCTATCCTCCTGGAAATGTTGTTTAGTTCACTCCTTCTCTATCCTCCTGGAGATGTTGTTTAGTTCTCTGCTTCTCTATCCTCCTGGAGTTGTTGTTTAGTTCTCTGCTTCTCCATCCTCCTGGAGTTGTTGTTTAGTTCTCTCCTATATCCTCCTGGAGTTGTTGTTTAGTTCTCTCCTCTGTCCTCCTGGAGTTGTTGTTTAGTTCTCTCCTTTTCTATCCTTCTGGAATTATTGTTTAGTTCTCTCCTTCTCTATCCTCCTAGAGTTGTTGTTTAGTTCTCTCCTTCTCTATCCTTCTGGAGTTGTTGTTTAGGTCTCTCCTTCTCTATCCTCCTGGTGTTGTTGTTTAGTTCCCTTTCTTCTATCCTCCTGGAGTTGTTGTTTAGTTCTCTCCTCTATCCTCCTGGAGTTGCTGTTTAGTTCTCTCCTCCTCTATCCTCCTGGAGTTGTTGTTTAGTTCTCTCCTCCTCTATCCTCCTGGAGTTGTTTTTTAGTTCTTTCCTCCTCTATCCTCCTGGAGTTGTTGTTTAGTTCTCTCCTTCTCTATCTTCCTGGAGTTGTTGTTTAGGTCTCTCCTTCTCTATCCTCCTGGAGTTGTTCTATAGTTCTATCCTTCTCTACCATCCTGGAGCTGTTGTTTAGTTTTCTCCTCCTCTATACTCCTGGAGTTGTTGTTTAGTTCTCTCCTTCTCTATCCTCCTGGTGTTGTTGTTTAGTTCTCTCTCCTCCTCTATCCTCCTGGAGTTGTTGTTTAGTTCTCTCTTCTATCCTCCTGGAGTTATTGTTTAGTTCTCTCCTTCTCTATCCTCCTGGAGTTGTTGTTTAGTTCTCTCCTCTCTCCTCCTTGAGTTGTTGTTTAGTTATCTCAACTCTCCTCCTGGAGTGGTGGTTTAGATCTCTCCTTCTCTAGCCTTCTTGAGTTGTTGTTTTATTTCTCTCCTCTCTCCTTCTGTAGTTGTTGTTTTATTTCTCTCCTCTCTCCTCCTGGAGTTGGTTTATTTTCTTTTTTTCCCCTCCCCCTCCTGGAGTTTTTGTTTTTTTTCTCTCCCCTTTTCCGGAGGGTTTTTTTTATTTCTTTTATCCTCCCGGGGGGTTTTCTATTCTTCCCTTCCCCTGAAGTTTTTGTTTTTATTTTTCCTTCTCCTCCCCGTTGTCTTCCCATGTTCATTTTTCTTTTTTTTTTTCTTGTTTCTTAATCCTTTGAATGAAAAATCTTTTTCCTCTCTCTCTTCCTCTTTTCCTCTCTTTTCTTTTTTTTATTCCCCTTCTCTGTTGTCTGTTCTCTTCTCTCTCTTTCTCTTCTTTCTTTCTTCTCCTTCCCCCCTTTCTTTCTTTTCCCCTTCTCTCTCGCTCTCTCTCTTGTCTTTTCGCTTTTTGTCCCCCCCCCTTCTCTCTCTTTCCTTCTGTCTGTCTGTCTTCTGTTGTCTCTCATGTCTCTCTCTCTCTTTTTTTTTCTTCTCTCTCTCTTTCCTCTCTCTCATCTCCTCTCTCTCCTCTCTTCCTTCTCTCTCTCTTTCTCTATTTCTCTCCTTTTCTCTCTCTCCTCTCTTCTTCTCTCCCCTTTTCTCTCTCTTTCGTCCTGCCTGTCGGGGCTCTCAGCCTCTCTTTCTTCTGTCCTCCTTTTGTCTGTCCCTTTTGTTCGCCTCACGTCTCTTTTCCCCTTTTCTTTTCTCTCTCTCTCTCTTCTTCTCCTCTCTTCTCTCTTCTCTCCTCTTCTCTCTCTCCCTTTTTCTCTCCTCTCTCTCCTCTCTCTCTCCTCTTCTCCTCTCTCTCTTCTCTCTCTCTCTCTCTCTTCTCTCGCTGCTCCTCTTCTCTCTCCTTCTCTCTCTCTCTCTCTCTCTCTCTCTTCTCTCTCTCTCTCTCTCTCTCTCCTCTCTTCTCTCTCTCTCTCTCGCTGTCTCTCTCTGTCTGTCTCTCGCTGTCTCTCTCTGTCTCTCTCTGTCTCTCTCTCTCCAGGTATCTCTCTCTGTAGACCTGTACAGCTCTGATGTTATTACTGATCAGATCCTCTCAGACTGTAGACCTGTACATCTCTGATGTTGTTAAGGATCAGATCCTCTCAGACTGCTGTACATCTCTGCAGCAGCTGGGATATGGCCCTGAGCTGGATTACCAAGGTAATTTATCAAACAAATCACTTAGCCGGAAGAAGTTTGTTTTCCAGAATATTTTGCCACATTTTGCTGAACTTTTATTTTGCTGACTGTAAGTCGCTCTGGATAAGAGAGTCAGCTATATGATTAAAATGTATAATTGTAATTTATCCATCCTTGCCACCCTGACAGAGGTGTTGGTTATGTTGTTCTGTTGACAGCAGGAAGGCAGAGAGTGATTAATACTGCTACGTGGTAGTGCAAGGCTGAAAGTGACAGATCTATCGCAAGTAACCAACCGAAAGGTGAATGAATGAACGACCTCGTTGTCCCTTCTAAAAAGCTGTTCTCTTTGGTTCATGTCTTGAACTTGTCTCACAGAAACGTTGCCAGATTATTCTGTGTCTGCATACCATCACCTTTCATCCAGTGCTTGGTGGTCTGAGGAGATGATTGGAGAGGAGTGGTTCCCACAGTAGTAGATCCTATAGTCCTGGTGAATCCTCCCCTCTGAGCTGGAAGATAGGAGTAGACCATGACACTAGATATCGCCGTGGTGATCATTTACAATTTCAAGTTCCCATGAAAGGGCATTATGTCTGTTCAAATTCAAATCATGATAGTTGTTAACTTGTTAACCTAACTGAAAGCCTTTACTCACCTCATTCAGATTACAACGGACCAGGTATGTAAGTAACATTTTATTGGATATAAATGTATAGATAAAAGTCCTCTCCCCTTAGCGGCGTTGGCAAAAGGCAGATGTTTCTGGTTTTAAGGGATACAGTATTTTCAACCTAACTTCTGTTTCCCCTGAAAAACGGAAGTGGTGTTTTCTACACCTGCTACATTAGCTTAAAAGTCATCCAACAGCAACAGCCAATCACAACAAGCCCCATACAGCCAGTCAGTCAGGGTTGTAAATTCCTACCTTTGAACCTGTTCCCTGATAGCAACAGATATAAACACTGACCAGCAGCTTCAAACAGCCTCTGTCTAGAAGGAGACTAGTTAATGGATTCACCTGACAGACCAGCAGCTTCAAACAGCCTCTGTCTAGAAGGAGACTGGTTAATGGAGTCACCTGACAGACCAGCAGCTTCAAACAGCCTCTGTCTAGAAGGAGACTGGTTAATGAAGTCACCGGACAAACCAGCAGCTTCAAACAGCCTCTGTCTAGAAGGAGACTGATCAATGAAGTCACCTGACAGACCAGCAGCTTCAAACAGCCTCTGTTTAGAAGGAGACTGGTTAATGGAGTCACCTGACAGACCAGCAGCTTCAAACAGCCTCTGTCTAGAAGGAGACTGGTTAATGAAGTCACCTGACAGACCAGCAGCTTCAAACAGCCTCTGTCTAGAAGGAGACTGGTTAATGAAGTCACTTGACAGACCAGCAGCTTCAAACAGCCTCTGTCTAGAAGGAGACTGGTTAATGAAGTCACCTGACAGACCAGCAGCTTCAAACAGCCTCTGTCTAGAAGGAGACTGGTTAATGAAGTCACCTGACAGACCAGCAGTTTCAAACAGCCTCTCTCTAGAAGGAGACTGATCAATGAAGTCACCTGACAGACCAGCAGTTTCAAACAGCTTCTGTCTAGAAGGAGACTGGTTAATGAAGTCACCTGACAGACCAGCAGCTTCAATCAGCCTCTCTCTAGAAGGAAACTGGTTAATGAAGTCACCTGACAGACCAACAGCTTCAAACAGCTTCTGTCTAGAAGGAGACTGGTTAATGAAGTCACCTGACAGACCAGCAGCTTCAATCAGCCTCTCTCTAGAAGGAAACTGGTTAATGCAGACACCTGACAGACCAGCAGTTTCAAACAGCTACTGTCTAGAAGGAGACTGGTTAATGAAGTCACTTGACAGACCAGCAGACACAACACATCAGTTTCACAGCTCACACAGACACACAGTGATTAGGGGCTGGAGCTAGGAGCTTTCTAGTGGTTCAGGAGGAGAAGGAGGAGGAAAAGGAGGAGGAGGAGGAGGAGGAGGAGGAGGAGGAGGAAGAGAGGAAGGGTATATTAAATCTCTATTGGCTGACAGGGAAGATGTTTGCAACTTATTGGTTCCTCCAGGCAATCTAGTTATTAACACAGAACAAATTGCTAAAACTTGCAAATCTGCCCCGAAGGGAAATTTTTCTTCAATCCTATAGCTTGAGATGTTTGTTACCTCTCTGTTCTGTCTCTATTTATTTTTTTTTCTCTAATTCCAATCTTTATTAGATTTATGTATTCTTTCTCTCTCTAATATTCTCTCTATTTTGCTTCTTCTCAGATATCTCTCTCTCCTCTATCTCTCTCTCTCTCCTCTATCTCTCTCTATCTCTCTCTTCTCTTCTCTCCTCTCTCTCTTTCTCGTTCTCACTCTCTCTTTCTCTTTCTCTCTCTATCTCTCTATCACTCTCTCTCTCTTTATCTCTCTCTCTCCTCTCTCTCTCTGTCCTCTCTCTCTCGTCTCACTCTCTCGTTCTCTCTATCACTCTCTCTCTCCTCTCGCTCTTGCTCTCACTCCTCTCTCTCTCTCTCTCTCGCTTTTCTCTCTCTCAATTAAATTACAGTTTTTCTCGATTGCTAAGACACATTTCTTGAAAGCTGCTCTCCCTTTCTCTTAACTGTGAACACAAAACCCAATTTTCAAGCTACCACTCACAAAACCTCAGACTCTTCTTGCCAAAACCAAACTTTCACCTCAAAAACAGTTCAATCTGTGCTCAAAACTGAACTATGTTGTCAAATCGTGCCCCGAGTCAATCAAAATAAAAAACACTACTGAACAGTCACTAAACACTACGTAGAAAAGTAGAAATCCCAATGGTCAGGACATGAAGCTGGAGAAATAAATGTTTATTGTTCACTGTAGGCTAAATGCATGTTGCAAAACAAAAAAAACCTGTGCATTTAGCACTTGTACAAAAAGACCAAAACAGAAATCTTGTGCATTTACATGTAGCACTTGTAAAAACAAACAGAAATCTTATGCGTTTGCCACTTGTGTACAGTAAGCCCATGTAAAAATAAAGTACAAAAATATACAAATAAGTGCATTACTCAGCCACAGCATCATGTCTCCGTACTGGGTCAGGCCACAGGACTTCATCCACATCACAGGCCACATTTTGTCTGGCCAGGCAACGGGGGAAAAAACCCCTGGCATGCCGTATCCAGGCTTGGCATGCCTCCACACCTATGTCACCACAGGCAAGTCCCATGGCTTTCAGGAGATTTACCCTGGTGTAAGGTTGGCGTTCATATACCTTCCACCGCCATGAGGAGAATAATTCCTCAATGGGGTTTAGGAAAGGGGGAGTACGGTGGAAGGCAAAGATTGATAAAACCTTGGTTCATATTGTACCACTCTCTAACCTGGAGGGCTCTGTGAAAACTCACATTGTCCCAAACAACAACATAGATGGGATGCTCATCCTGCTGCCCCTAACAAAGCATCTCGCATGTGATTGAGGAAAATGAGGAGCTGGTGAGTGTTGTAGGGCCCCAGGTTGGCATGATGGTGGACAACCCCATGATTGCTGATGGCAGCACATAATGTGACATTGCCACCACGCTGCCCAGGAACACCAACAATGGCCCGATGGCCAATCACATTACGGCCTCTCCTTCTCCTTTTGGTGAGATTAAACCCAGCTTCATCCATGTAGATGTATTGATGGGGTCTTTCCATTGCATCCAGTTGAAAAAACCCTCTGTAGAAATAGATATCGTTTTGTAAGTGATACGGAAAAAGTGATTTAGGCCACTACAGTAAATCACTACTTAGAGTAATCAACATTGAATGTGTCTGGATATATGCCAACCTGTACATACTGGAATCTTTGCTCTTTGACTCTGTCTGAGTTGCGATCAAAGGGCACTCTGTATAGCTGTTTCATGCGCAGTCTGTTGCGCTTGAGGACACGATCAACAGTAGAGAGGCTGACACTGTTGATACCCTCAAAATTTAAATGGTCCTCAATGATCTTCTGCTGAATTTCGCTCAGTTTAATGGCATTGTTCTCACGGACCATATCAACAATTAGGGTCTCTTGGTGTGGGGAGAACATACCTGTCCTCCCACCCCCATGTGGCAGTCTTTCAATTCTACAAAAAGAGAACATGGAGCTACAAAAAATATACATGGAATACTAGGCCTACAAACAGTTAGACCAACCCTCCATTACAATACTACAGTACATTGGTACAGTGATGTACTGAAACATATATTTACTTACAGTATACTGTGGTACAGTATATAGTATGTCATACAGTAATTGCTGTCAACATTTACATACTGTACTATAATGTCAAAAAAAGGTAATTACCTGTTCTCTTCTCTAAATCTTCGGATTATGGTGGACACAGTGAATCTACTGATGTTTAGTTGTACCCTTGTCCAGCCTCCCTCATGCTCATATCATGGACAAGAACATGGTCAATCACAGTAGCTCTGATTTCATCAGATATTACTGTTCTTTGTCTTCGCTGACCACCTCGACCACCTCGACCTCCTCTCACACGAACTCTTCCTCTCAGATTTCTATCCATTGTAGGGCCTCACAAACCAGTGCTCTCTGAACTGGCTTACTGTATATGTTCCCTCACATCATTAGCCACAAGTGTGATCAATTTTGAGTTGTTGTGTTCAAGTGGTGACACCTGTGCTCTAATTGTGTTTGACTTTTGTCACCTGTGCTCACCATTATGCAGCACGGGTGCATCACAATGAAAATGTGTTGGCAAGTTATGTCTAAACAGGTGAAAAGTGCTTATGGTTTTGCCAAAAGAGTGATTGATTCAATCAGTGGGTTCAGGCAACTGAGCATTTGGTTCAGACAATAGGGTTTAGTGTTTTAGCAATTGAGAAAACTGTAAATTCAAAGGGCTTTATTGGCATGGGAAGCATATGTTTACATTGCCAAAGCAAGTGAAATAGATCATGAACAAAAATGAACAGTAAACATTACACTCACAAAAGTTTGAAAGTAATAGAGACATTTCAAATGTCATATTATGGCTTTATACAGTATTGTAACAATGTGCAAATAGTTAAAGTACAAAAGGGAAAATAAATAAACATAAATATGGGTTGTATTTACACTGGTGTTTGTTCTTCACTGGTTGCCCTTTTCTTGTGGCAACAGGTCACAAATCTTTCTGCTGTGATTGCACACTGGTATTTCATCCCAATAGATATGGGAGGTTATCAAAATTGGGTTTGTTTTAGAATTCTTTGTGGGTCTGTGTAATCTGAGGGAAATATGTGTCTCGAATATGGTCATACATTTGGCAGGAGGTTAGGAAGTGCAGCACAGTTTCCACCTCATTTTGTGGACAGTGGGCACATAGCCTGTCTTCTCTTGAGAGCCAGGTCTGCCTACTCACTGAGTCTGTACATAGTCAAAGCTTTCCTTAATTTTGGGTCAGTCATAGTGGTCAGGTATTCTGCCACTGTTTACTCTTGGTTTGGGCCAAATAGCATTCTAGTTTGCTCTGTTTTTTTGTTAATTCTTTCCAATGTGTCAAGTAATTATCTTTTTTTTTTCTCATGGTTTGGTTGGGTCTAACTGTGTTGCTGTCCTGGGGCTCTGTGGGATCTGTTTGTGTTTGTGAACAAATCAAATCAAATCAAATGTTATTTGTCACATGTGCCGAATACAACAGGTGTAGACCTTACAGTGAAATGCTTACTTACAAGCCCTTAACCAACAATGCAGTTTTAAGAAATAATACCAAAATAAATCACACAAAAATACAATATAAAATAATACAAAATAAAAGTAACAAACTATTAAAGAGCAGCAGTAAAAATAACAATAGCGAGGCTATATACAGGGGGTACCGGTACCGAGTCAATGTGCGGGGGCACCGGTTAGTCGAGGTAATTGGGGTAATTTGTACATGTAGGTAGAGTTATTAAAGTGACTATGCATAGATAATAAACAGAGAGTAGCAGCAGCGTAAAAGAGGGGGTGGGGACTACTGCAAATAGTCTGGGTAGCCATTTGATTAGATGTTCAGGAGTCTTATGGCTTGGGGGTAGAAGCTGTTTAAAAGCCTCTTGGACCTAGACTTGGCGCTCCGGTACCGCTTGCCGTGCGGTAGCAGAGAGAACAGTCTATGACTAGGGTGGCTGGAATCTTTGACAATTTTTAGGGCTTCCTCTGACACCGCCTGGTATAGAGGTCCTGGATGGCAGGAAGCTTGGCCCCAGTGATGTACTGGGCCGTACGCACTACCCTCTGTAGTGCCTTGCGGTCGGAGGCCGAGCAGTTGCCAGACCAGGCAGTGATGCAACCAGTCAGGATGCTCTCGATGGTGCAGCTGTAGAACCTTTTGAGGATCTGAGGACCCATGCCAAATTGTTTCAGTCTCCTTAGGGGGAATAGGTTTTGTCGTGCCCTCTTCACGACTGTCTTGGTGTGCTTGGACCATGTTAGTTTGTTGGTGATGTGGACCTGCTCCCCTACAGCCCCGTCGATGAGAATGGGGGCGTGCTCGGTCCTCTTCTTTTTCCTGTAGTCCACAATCATCTCCTTTGTCTTGAGGTTGTTGTCCTGGCACCACACAGCCAGGTCTCTGACCTCTTCCCTATAGGCTGTCTCGTCGTTGTCGGTGATCAGGCCTACCACTGTTGTGTCATCGGCAAACTTAATGATAGTGTTGGAGTCGTGCCTGGCCATGCAGTCATGAGTGAACAGGGAGTACAGGAGGGGACTGAGCACGCACCCCTGAGGGGCCCCCGTGTTGAGTATCAGCGTGGCGAATGTGTTGTTACCTACTCTTACCACCTAGGGGCGGCCCGTCAGGAAGTCCAGGATCCAGTTGCAGAGGGAGGTGTTTAGTCCCATGGTCCTTAGCTTAGTGATGAGCTTTGAAGGCACTATAGTGTTGAATGCTGAGCTGGACCAGCTTGCTTAGGGGACTCTTCTCCAGGTTAATCTCTCTGTAGTTGATGGCTTTGTTATGGAAGGCTTGGGAATCGCTTCCATTTAGGTGGTTGTAGAATTTAATGGCTCTTTTCTGGATTTTGATAATTAGCAGGTATCGGCCTAATTCTGCGCTGCATGCATTATTTTGTGTTTTACATTGTTCACTGAGGATATTTTTGCAGAATCTACATGCGGAGTCTCAATTTGGTGTTTGTCCCATTTTGTGAATTCTTGATTGGTGAACGGATCCCAGACCTCACAACCATGAAGGGCAATGGGTTCTATAACTGATTCAAGTGTTTTTAGCCAGATCCTAGTTGGTATGTCGAATTTTCCATTTGATGTATAGTTTTTTGTGTGCTCTAGGGCAACGGTGTCTAGATGCAATTTGTATTTGTAGTCCTGGCAACTGGACCTTTTTTGGAACACCATTGTTTTTGTGTTACTGAGATTTACTGTCAGGGACCAGGTCTGACGGAAGTTTACATACACTTAGGTTGGAGTCATTAAAACTTGTTTTCCAACCACTCCACAAATTTCTTGTTAACAAACTATAGTTTTGGCAAGTCGGTTAGGACATCTACTTTGTGCATGACACAAGTAATTTTTCCAACAATTGTTTACAGACATATTATTTCACTTATAATTCACTGTATCACAATTCCAGTGTGTCAGAAGTTTACATACACTAAGTTGACTGTGCCTTTAAACAGCTTGGAAAATTCCATGAATGATGTCATGTACTTTGGTGTGAAACATGCAAATCAATCCCAGAACAACAGCAAAGGACCTTGTGAAGATGCTGGAGGAAATCATCTCCCAAATATCACTATTTCTAAAACAAGCCATAGAAAGTTGGTTGCAATTTCAATTTAATCCTCCAGAAATGACAGAACAAATATTGCAACAAATATTGTGGTTAAACTCAAATATACTATTTGATAAAAAAACGTTATTTTTTGAGAAAATGTTTAAAAAAGGTATAATCTTCGTAAATGATATTATCGGTAGGAATGGTGGAGTTCTGTCGCACATTCAGCTAACAAAAACATGTCTGTTCTACCCAAAATTACAACCAAATAATTGCAGCATTACCGCAAAAATGGAAAGAAAATTGTGATAAATATTGTGATAAATAAAAAGGTTTACCAGTTTCATTTAAGGACCAAAAGATTGACAGCCGTTCCATATAGATTGCAAAATAGTTGGGAATAGATTTTTGACGTACCGATTCCATGGCATAGTGTTTATGAACTGATACGCAAAACGATGCTGGATTCAAAACTTATAATTTTTCGATTTAAATTATTATATAAAATTCTTGCTACCAATAGAATGTTATTTGTATGGGGATATAATCTTCCCAGCTCTGCAGATTTGGCTGTGAAGAGACAGAATCATTAGATCATTTGTTTTGGTACTGTCCATTTGTAGCTTGTTTCTGGACACAGGTCCAGGAATGGCTGAAGGATTGCAATATTTGCATGGAGCTGACCCTGCAGATAGCACTACTGGGTGATCTGAAAAGTCATAGTCAATTGATCAATAATATAATAATACTTTTAGCAAAAATGTTTATTTTCAATTCACAAACTGTAGAAACAATGAGAATAGAAAGGTTCAGAACTTTTGTAAAACATCACAGTACAGTTGAAAAATATATGGCAAATAGAAATCCAATATGGATGGTGTTAAGAGATAGATGGGAGGTGTTGAATGAAGCTGAAGGATGGGACTAATAACAACAACTAATAACAACAAGATAAATAGTGTAAGACATGCTGTGTCCATAATAGGTATATAGGTTATATATTGTGAGCTTTTGTGAAAGAGCACAGTTAGAAAGATATGGCATATAGAAGCATACCAGATGGACGTCATGAAAATGATCGGAGGAAGTTCAGGAGTAAAAACAAACAAAATATAATTATTGACTGTGTCCATAAAATGTATATAGTATGTATAAGCATGAAGTAGAGGCCTAAGCATTGTTGTTCATTAGTTTACTCCAATTAGGGAAGGGATGGTGGGGTTGGAAAGTAATAAAGGGAAATATATATATATTTTTAAAGGATATGTATGTATATATATATATATGTATGTATATTCGTATATGTATGTATGCGTATGTATGTGTATATATATATATATATGTATATATATATATATATATATATATACAGTGAGGGAAAAAAGTATTTGATCCCCTGCTGATTTTGTACGTTTGCCCACTGACAAAAAAATGATCAGTCTATAATTTTGATGGTAGGTTTATTTAAACCGTGAGAGACAGAATAACAACAAAAAAATCCAGAAAAACGCATGTCAAAAATGTTATAAATTGATTTGTATTTTAATGAGGGAAATAAGTATTTGACCCCTCTGCAAAACATGACTTAGTACTTGGTGGCAAAACCCTTGTTGGCAATCACAGAGGTCAGACGTTTCTTGTAGTTGGCCACCAGGTTTGCACACATCTCAGGAGGGATTTTGCTCCACTCCTCTTTACAGATCTTCTCCAAGTCATTAAGGTTTTGAGGCTGACATTTGGCAACTCGAACCTTCAGCTCCCTCCACAGATTTTCTATGGGATTAAGGTCTGGAGACTGGCTAGGCCACTCCAGGACCTTAATGTGCTTCTTCTTGAGCCACTCCTTAGTTGCCTTGGGTCATTGTCATGCTGGAATACCCATCCACGACCCATTTTCAATGCCCTGGCTGAGGGAAGGAGGTTCTCACCCAATATTTGACGGTGCATGGCCCCGTCCATCGTCCCTTTGATGCAGTGAAGTTGTCCTGTCCCCTTAGCAGAAAAACACTCCCAAAGCATAATGTTTCCACCTCCATGTTTGACGGTGGGGATGGTGTTCTTGGGGTCATAGGCAGCATTCCTCCTCCTCCAAACACGGCGAGTTGAGTTAATGCCAAAGAGCTCCATTTTGGTCTCATCTGACCACAACACTTTCACCCAGTTCTCCTCTAAATCATTCAGATGTTCATTGGCAAACTTCAGACGGGCATGTACAGTGGGGAAAAAAAGTATTTAGTCAGCCACCAATTGTGCAAGTTCTCCCACTTAAAAAGATGAGAGAGGCCTGTAATTTTCATCATAGGTACACGTCAACTATGACAGACAGATTGAGAAAAAAAAAATCCAGAAAATCACATTGTAGGATTTTTTATGAATTTATTTGCAAATTATGGTGGAAAATAAGTATTTGGTCACCTACAAACAAGCAAGATTTCTGGTTCTCACAGACCTGTAACTTTTTCTTTAAGAGGCTCCTCTGTCCTCCACTCGTTATCTGTATTAATGGCACCTGTTTGAACTTGTTATCAGTATAAAAGACACCTGTCCACAACCTCAAACAGTCACACTCCAAACTCCATTATGGCCAAGACCAAAGAGCTGTCAAAGGACACCAGAAACAAAATTGTAGACCTGCACCAGGCTGGGAAGACTGAATCTGCAATAGGTAAGCAGCTTGGTTTGAAGAAATCAACTGTGGGAGCAATTATTAGGAAATGGAAGACATACAAGACCACTGATAATCTCCCTCGATCTGGGGCTCCACGCAAGATCTCACCCCGTGGGGTCAAAATGATCACAAGAACGGTGAGCAAAAATCCCAGTACCACACAGGGGGGACCTAGTGAATGACCTGCAGAGAGCTGGGACCAAAGTAAGAAAGCCTACCATCAGTAACACACTACGCCGCCAGGGACTCAAATCCTGCAGTGCCAGACGTGTCCCCCTGCTTAAGCCAGTACATGTCCAGGCCCGTCTGAAGTTTGCTAGAGTGCATTTGGATGATCCAGAAGAGGATTGGGAGAATGTCATATGGTCAGATGAAACCAAAATAGAACTTTTTGGTAAATACTCAACTCGTCGTGTTTGGAGGACAAAGAATGCTGAGTTGCATCCAAAGAACACCATACCTACTGTGAAGCATGGGGGTGGAAACATCATGCTTTGGGGCTGTTTTTCTGCAAAGGGACCAGGACGACTGATCCGTCTAAAGGAAAGAATGAATGGGGCCATGTATCGTGAGATTTTGAGTGAAAACCTCCTTCCATCAGCAAGGGCATTGAAGATGAAACGTGGCTGGGTCGATGTGATTTTCTGGATTTTTTTTTCTCAATTTGTCTGTCATAGTTGAATGTGTACCTATGATGAAAATTACAGGCCTCTCTCATCTTTTTAAGTGGGAGAACTTGCACAATTGGTGGCTGACTAAATACTTTTTTTCCCCCACTGTATATGTGCTTTCTTGAGCAGGGGGACCTTGCGGGCGCTGCAGGATTTCAGTCCTTCACGGCGTAGTGTGTTACCAATTGTTATTATGAAAAACTTAGTTTAAATGTATTTGGCTAAGGTGTATGTAAACTTCCGACTTCAACTGTATGTGCTGCTGTAGGCCCTCCTTGGTTGGGGAAAGATGCACCAGATCATCAGCAAACAGTAGACATTTGACTAAAGATTAGTAGGTTGAGCTGCATACCTGTCTCACCCCACGGCCCTGTGGAAATAAATGTTTGTGTTATTGGTCCATTTTAACAACACTTGTTGTTTGTGTTCATGGATTTTATAATGTCGTATGTTTTTCCACCAATACCACTTTCCATCAATTTATATAGCAAATCTCTCTCTCTCTCTCTCTCTCTCTCTCTCTCTCTCTCTCTCTCTCTCTCTCTCTCTCTCTCTCTCTCTCTCTCTCTCTCTCTCTCTCTCTCTCTCTCTCTCTCTATCTCTCTCTCTCTCATCTCTATCTAATGCATTATTCATCCATCTTTCATCTAGGTTTGTTTTGCTCTGGGACTAAGTGTACATTTTGATTGGTAGTAAGTTTCTCTGTGACTCCCTCAGGGCCTTGAGAAATGCACTCCGCTTGTGTATCCAAGAAATATGGCAGATAATTGCAGCAGTGTTGCAGCGATGCTGATAGCTAGTTGTTGTGGTTGGTGTTTTTTTCACACCTCACACAGTAACAGGTAGGCTCTCAGGGAGAGAGAGATGCAACATATGAGTGTAGTGGAGAGAGAGATGTATGGAGAGACTAAAGGGGAAGAGGGTTTGTTGGTTTATGTGATTGCGTCAGAAGGAAAGAGCAACCCCCTGTGTGTTTGTATTGGAGTAATGAGGTCTTTCCAAAAGGAACGTTCCCCATAGGCCAAGGACCCCCCAAGGCTCCAGTCTGCAGTGTGCAACTAAGGCTTTACCCTGCCTATTTCTGCAGTAGTTGGTTACACATATTCAGGAGGAGATAAGCAAATACCTTATTTGTGACAAAGTAGCAATTTAGTAGTATTTATAACTGTGTAATTCATTGTAAATAAACTAGTAATAACACTACCCGCGAGACATACACTACCAACCAGCCAACTCCTAATGTTAGTGACTGTAATAAAGTAGTATTAGATATACACTACCAACCATCTCCTAATGTTAGTGACTGTACGGAAGTAGTATTAGATATACACTACCAACCATCTCCTAATGTTAGTGACTGTACGAAAGTAGTATTAGATATACACTACCAACCAACTCCTAATGTTAGTGACTGTACTAAAGTAGTATTAGATATACACTACCAACCATCTCCTAATGTTAGTGACTGTACGAAAGTAGTATTAGATATACACTACCAACCATCTCCTAATGTTAGTGACTGTACGAAAGTAGTATTAGATATACACTACCAACCAACTCCTAATGTTAGTGACTGTACTAAAGTAGTATTAGATATACACTACCAACCATCTCCTAATGTTAGTGACTGTACTAAAGTAGTATTAGATATACACTACCAACCATCTCCTAATGTTAGTGACTGTACTAAAGTAGTATTAGATATACACTACCAACCATCTCCTAATGTTAGTGACTGTACTAAAGTAGTATTAGATATACACTACCAACCAACTCCTAATGTTAGTGACTGTATAAGCACTAGTCTACTATCCCTCTAACTCACTAAGCACTAGTCTACTACCCCTCTAACTCACTAAGCACTAGTCTACTACCCCTCTAACTCAATAAGCACTAGTCTACTATCCCTCTAACTCACTAAGCCCTAGTCTACTATCCCTCTAACTCACTAAGCACTAGTCTACTACCCCTCTAACTCACTAAGCACTAGTCTACTACCCCTCTAACTCACTAAGCACTAGTCTACTATCCCTCTAACTCACTAAGCACTAGTCTACTACCCCTCTAACTCACTAACACTAGTCTACTACCCCTCTAACTCACTAAGCACTAGTCTAATATCCCTCTAACTCACTAAGCACTAGTCTACTCTCCTTCTAACTCACTAAGCACTAGTCTACTATCCATCTAACTCACTAAGCACTAGTCTACTACCCCTCTAACTCACTAAGCACTAGTCTACTATCCTTCTAACTCACTAAGCACTAGTCTACTATCCATCTAAACTCACTAAGCACTAGTCTACTACCCCTCTAACTCACTAAGCACTAGTCTACTATCCTTCTAACTCACTAAGCCACTATCTACTAACCTCTAACTCACTAACCACTAGTCTACTACCCCTCTAACTCACTAAAGCACTAGTCTACTTCCTCCTTCTAACTCACTAGCACTAGTCTACTATCCTCTACTCACTAAGCACTAGTCTACTACCCCTCTAACTCACTAAGCACTAGTCTACTACCCCTCTATCTCACTAAGCACTAGTCTAATACCCCTACTAACTCACTAAGTACTAGTCTACTACCCTCTAACTCACTCAGCACTAGTCTAACTACCCCTCTAACTCACTAAGCACTAGTTTACTATCCCTCTAACTCACTTAGCACTAGTTTACTACCCTCTAACTCACTAAGCACTAGTCTACTACGACCAACTACCACAACCCTCTAACTCACTAAGTCACTAGTCTACTACCCCCTCGAACTCACTAAGTCATAGTCTACTACCCCCCTCTAACTCACTAAGCACTAGTTTACTATCCTCTAACTCACTTAGCAACTAGTTTACTACCCCTCTAAACTCACTAAGCACTAGTCTACTACCCCTCTAACTCACTAAGCACTAGTCTACTATCCCTCTAACTCACTTAGCACTAGTTTACTACCCCTCTAACTCACTAAGCACTAGTCTACTACCCCTCTAACTCACTAAGCACTAGTCTACTACCCCTCTAAACTCACTAAGCACTAGTCTACTATCCGTTCTAACTCACTAAGCACTAGTCTACTATCCCTCGAACTCACTAACACTAGTCTACTACCCCTCTAACTCACTAAGCACTAGTCTACTACCCCTCTAACACACTAAGCACTAGTCTACTATCCCTCTAACACACTAAGCACTAGTTTACTATCCCTCTAATCCCTAAGCACTAGTCTACTATCCCGCTAACACACTAAGCACTAGTCTACTATCCCTCTAACACACTAAGCACTAGTCTACTATCCCTCTAATCCCTAACAGCACTTCTACTATCTCTCTAACTCACTAAGCACTAGTCTACTATCCCTCTAACTCACTAGCACTAGTCCTACTATCCCTCTAACTCACTAAGCACTAGTCTACTACCCCTCTAACTCACTAAGGCACTAGTCTACTATCCCTCTAACTCACTAAGCACTAGTCTACTATCCCTCTAACTCACTAAAGCACTAGTCTACTACCCCCCTCAAACTCACTAAGCACTAGTCTACTACCCCCTAAACCTCACTAAGCACTAATATACTATCCATCTAACTCACTAAGCACTAGTCTACTATCCCTCTAACCACTAAGCACTAGTCTCTATCCCTCTAAACTCACTAACACTAAGTATACTACCCCTCAACTCACTAAGCACTATCTACTATCCCTCTAACTCACTAAGCACTAATGATACTACCCCTCTAACTCACTAAGCACTAGTCTACTATCCCCTAACTCACTAACACTAGTCTACTATCCCTCTAACTCACGAGCACTAGTCTACTACCCCCTTAACTCACTAACACTAGTCTACTATCCCTCTAAACTCATAAGCACTGTCTACTACCCCTCTAACTCACTAAGCACTAGTTACTATCCCTCTAACTCACTAAGCACTAAAATCCCTCTAACTCACTAAGCACTAGTCACTATCCCTCTAACTCACTAAGCACTAGTCTACTACCCCTCTAACTCAAAAGCACTAGTCTACTATCCTCTACTCACTAACACTAGTCTACTATCCCTCTAACTCACGAAGCACTAGTCTACTACCCCTCTAACTCACTAACACTAGTCTACTATCCCTCTAACTCACTAAGCACTAGTCTACTATCCCTCTAACTCACTAAGCACTAGTCTACTACCCCTAACTCACTAAGCCACGACTATAACCCCTCTAAACTCACTAAGCACTAGTCTACATCCTCTAACTCATAAGCACTAGGTCTACTATCCCTCTAACTCACTAAGCACTAGTCTACTACTCCCTCTAACTCCACTAAGCACTAGTCTATACTCTCCTTCTAACTCATAAGCACTAGTGTACTATCCTTCTAACTCACTAAGCACTAGTCTACTATCCCTCTAACTCACTAAGCACTAGTCTACTATCCTTCTAACTCACTAAGCACTAGTCTACTATCCTTCTAACTCACTAAGCACTAGTTTACTATCCCTCTAACTCACTAACACTAGTCTACTATCCATCTAACTCACTAAGCACTAGTCTATTATCCCTACCCCTCTAACTCACTAAGCACTAGTCTACTATCCCTCTAACTCACTAAGCACTAGTCTACTATCCTTCTAACTCACTAAGCACTAGTCTACTATCCCTCTAACTCACTAACACTAGTCTACTACCCCTCTAACTCACTAAGCACTAGTCTACTACCCCTCTAACTCACTAAGCACTAGTCTACTACCCCTCTAACTCACTAAGTACTAGTCTACTACCCCTCTAACTCACTAAGCACTAGTCTACTACCCCTCTAACTCACTAAGCACTAGTCTACTATCCCTCTAACTCACTAAGCACTAGTCTACTATCCCTCTAATCCCTAAGCACTAGTCTACTCTCCTTCTAACTCACTAAGCACTAGTGTACTATCCTTCTAACTCACTAAGCACTAGTCTACTATCCCTCTAACTCACTAAGCACTAGTCTACTATCCTTCTAACTCACTAAGCACTAGTCTACTATCCTTCTAACTCACTAAGCACTAGTTTACTATCCCTCTAACTCACTAACACTAGTCTACTATCCATCTAACTCACTAAGCACTAGTCTATTATCCCTACCCCTCTAACTCACTAAGCACTAGTCTACTATCCCTACCCCTCTAACTCACTAAGCACTAGTCTACTACCCCTCTAACTCACTAAGCACTAGTCTACTATCCCTACCCCTCTAACTCACTAAGCACTAGTCTATAATCCCTCTAACTCACTAAGCAATAGTCTACTATCCCTCTAACTCACTAAGCACTAGTCTACTACCCCTCTAACTCAATAAGCAGTAGTCTACTATCCCTCTAACTCACTAAGCACTAGTCTACTATCCCTCTAACTCACTAAGCACTAGTCTACTATCCCTCTAACTCACTAAGCACTAGTCTACTACCCCTCTAACTCAATAAGCACTAGTCTACTATCCCTCTAACTCACTAAGCACTAGTCTACTATCCCTCTAACTCACGAAGCACTAGTCTACTACCCCTCTAACTCACTAACACTAGTCTACTATCCCTCTAACTCACTAAGCACTAGTCTACTATCCCTCTAACTCACTAAGCACTAGTCTACTACCCCTCTAACTCACTAAGCACTAGTCTACTACCCCTCTAACTCACTAAGCACTAGTCTACTATCCCTCTAACTCACTAAGCACTAGTCTACTATCCCTCTAACTCACTAAGCACTAGTCTACTATCCCTCTAATCCCTAAGCACTAGTCTACTCTCCTTCTAACTCACTAAGCACTAGTGTACTATCCTTCTAACTCACTAAGCACTAGTCTACTATCCCTCTAACTCACTAAGACTATCACATCCTTCTAAATCATAAGCACTATCTACTATCCTTCTAACTCACTAAGCACTAGTTTACTATCCTCTAACTCACTAACCACTAGTTACTATCCTCTAACTCACTAAGCACTAGTCTAATCCTCTAACTCACTAAAGCACTAGTCTACTACCCCTCAACTCACTAAGCACTAGTCTACTACCCCTCAAAACTCACTAAGCACTACTCTATACTATCCATCCTCAACTCACTAAGCATAGTCTACTATCCCTCTAACTCATAAGCACTAATATACTACCCTCTAACTCACTAAGCACTAGTCTACTATCCTCTAACTCACTAAGCACTAATATACTACCCCTCTAACTCACTAAGCACTAGTCTACTAAATCCCTCTAACTCACTAACAGTTAATACTCAACTCACGAAGCACTAGTACACCCTTAACTCACTAACACTAGTCTACTATCCCTTAACTCATTAAGCACTGTCTACTACCTCTAAACTCACTAAGCACTAGTCTACTATCCCTCTAACTCACTAAGCACTAGTCTAACTATCCCTCTACCTCACTAAGCCACTAGTCTACTATCCCTCTAACTCATAAGCACTAGTCTACTATCCCTCTAACTCACTAAGCACTAGTCTACTATCCCTCTAACTCACTAAAGCACTAGTCTACTACCCCTCTAACTCACTAAGCACTAGTCTACTACCCCTCTAACTCACTAAGCCACTAGTCGACTATCCCTCTAACTCACTAAGCATAGTCTACTACCCCCTATAACTCACTAAGCACTAGTCTACTACCCCTCTAACTCACTACGCACTAGTCTACTATCCCTCTAACTCAACTAAGCACTAGTCTACTATCCCCTAACTCACTAAGCACTAGTCTACTATCCCTCTAACTCACTAAGCACTAGTCTACTCTCCTTCTAACTCACTAAGCAACTAGTCTACATCCCTTCTAACTCACTAAGCACTAGTCGACTATCCCGCTAACTCACTAAGCACTAGCTACTTCCTAAACTCACTAAGCACCTAGGTCTACTATCCTTCTAACTCACTAAGCACTAGTCTACTATCCTTCTAACTCACTAAGCACTAGTTTACTATCCCTCTAACTCACTAACACTAGTCTACTATCCATCTAACTCACTAAGCACTAGTCTATTATCCCTACCCCCTCTAACTCACTAAGCACTAGTCTACTATCCCTCTAACTCACTAAGCACTAGTCTACTATCCTTCTAACTCACTAAGCACTAGTCTACTATCCCTCTAACTCACTAACACTAGTCTACTACCCCTCTAACTCACTAAGCACTAGTCTACTACCCCTCTAACTCACTAAGCACTAGTCTACTACCCCTCTAACTCACTAAGTACTAGTCTACTACCCCTCTAACTCACTAAGCACTAGTCTACTACCCCTCTAACTCACTAAGCACTAGTCTACTATCCCTCCTAACTCACTAAGCACTAGTCTACTATCCTCTAATCCCTAAGCACTAGTCTACTCTCTTCTAACTCACTAAGCACTAGTGTACTATCCTTCTAACTCACTAAGCACTAGTCTACTATCCCTCTAACTCACTAAGCACTAGTCTACTATCCTTCTAACTCACTAAGCACTAGTCTACTATCCTTCTAACTCACTAAGCACTAGTTTACTATCCCTCTAACTCACTAACACTAGTCTACTATCCATCTAACTCACTAAGCACTAGTCTATTATCCCTACCCCTCTAACTCACTAAGCACTAGTCTACTATCCCTACCCCTCTAACTCAACTAAGCACTAGTCTACTACCCCTCTAACTCACTAAGCACTAGTCTACTATCCCTACCCCTCTAACTCACTAAGCACTAGTCTATAATCCCTCTAACTCACTAAGCAATAGTCTACTATCCCTCTAACTCACTAAGCACTAGTCTACTACCCCTCTAACTCAATAAGCAGTAGTCTACTATCCCTCTAACTCACTAAGCACTAGTCTACTATCCCTCTAACTCACTAAGCACATAGTCTACTATCCCTCTAACTCACTAAGAACTAGTCTACTACCCCTCTAACTCAATAAGCACTAGTCTACTATCCTCTAATCACTAAGCAACTAGTCTACTATCCCTCTAACTCAGAAGCACTAGTCTACTACCCTCTAATCACTAACACAGTCTACTATCCCTCAACTCACTAAGCATAGTCTACTATCCTCTAACTCCCCTAAGCACTAGTATTTCACCTCTAACTCACTAAGCACTAGTTACTACCCCTTAACTCATAAGCCTAGTCTACTATCCCTCTAACTCACTAAGCACTAGTCTACTATCCCTCAACTCACTAAGCAATAGTCACTATCTCTCATCCCTAAGCATAGTTAACTTCCTTCTAAAATCACTAAGCACTAGTCTCTATCCCCTTTTAACTCACTAAGCACTAGTCTACATCCCTCTAACTCACTAAGCACTAGTCTACTATCCTTCTAACTCAATAAGCACTAGTCTTACTATCCTCTAAACTCACTAAGCAATAGTTACTATCCCTAACTCCAACATAGTCTATATCCACTAAGCACTAAATCTAGTAAACCACCCTCTAACTCACTAAGCACTAGTCTACTATCCCTCTAACTCACTAAGCACTAGTCTACTACTCCTTCTAACTCACTAAGCACTAGTCTACTATCCCTCTAACTCACTAACACTAGTCATACTACCCCTCTAACTCACTAAGCACTAGTCTACTACCCCTCTAAACTCACTAAGCACTAGTCTACTACCCCTCTAACTCACTAAGTACTCAGTCTACTACCCTCTAACTCACTAAGCATAGTCTACTATCCCCTCTAACTCACTAAGCACTAGTCTACTATCCCTCAATCACTAAGCACTAGTCTACTATTCCCTCTAATCCCTAAGCACTAGTCTACTATCCTTCTAACTCACTAAGCACTAGTGTACTATCCTTCTAACTCACTAAGCACTAGTCTACTATCCCTCTAACTCACTAAGCACTAGTCTACTATCCTTCTAACTCACTAAGCACTAGTTTACTATCCTTCTAACTCACTAAGCACTAGTTTACTATCCCTCTAATCACTAACCACTAGTCTACTATCCATCTATCTAACTCACTAAGCACTAGTCTATTATCCCTACCCTCTACTCACTAAGCACTAGTCTTACTATCCCTCTAACTCACTAAGCACTAGTCTAACTATCCCTACCCCTCTAACGCACTAAGCACTAGTCTACTACCCCTCTAACTCACTAAGCATAGGTCTACTATCCTACCCCTCTAACTCACTAAGCACTAGTCTATAATCCCTCTAACTCACTAAAGCAATAGTCTACTATCCCTCTAACTCACTAAGCACTAGTCTACTACCCCTCTAACTCAATAAGCAGTAGTCTACTACCCCTCTAACTCACTAAGCACTAGTCTACTACCCCTATCTCCCTTTCCTCCCTCCTTTCCTCCCTCCCTTCCTCATTCCTTTCCTCCCTCCTTTCCTACCCCTCTAACTCACTAATACTAGTCTACTATCCCTACCCCTCTAACTCACTAAGCACTAGTCTACTAGTTAGGGCGGCAGGTAGCTTAGTGGTTAAGAGCGTTGTGCCAGTAACCGAAATGTCGCTGGTTCTAATCCCCGAGCCAACTAGGTGAAAAATCTGTCGATGTGCCCTTGAGCAAGGCATTAACCCTAATTGCTCCTGTAAGTCGCTCTGGATAAGAGCGTCTGCTAAATGACTAAAATGTAAATGTAAAATGTACTACCCCATCTCCCTTTCCTCCCTCCTTTCCTAACCCTCTAACTCACTAAGCACTAGTCTACTATCCTTCTAACTCACTAGTCTACTATCCCTCTAACTCACTAAGCACTAGTCTACTATCCTTCTAACTCACTTAGCACTAGTTTACTACCCCTCTAACTCACTAATCACTAGTCTACTATCCCTTCTAACTCACTAAGCACTAGTCTACTATCCGTACCCCTCTAACTCACTAAGCACTAGTCTACTAACCCTATCTCCCTTTCCTCCCTCCTTTCCGCATTCCTTTCCTCCCTCCTTTCCTCATTCCTTTCCTATTCCTCTAACTCACTAAGCACTAGTCTACTACCCCTCTAACTCACTAAGCACTTGTCTACTATCCCTCTAACTCACTAAGCATTAGTCTACTATCCCTCTAACTCACTAAGCACTAATCTACTATCCCCTCTAACTCACTAAGCACTAGTCTACTACCCTCTAACTCACTAAGCCCCTAGTCTACTCTCCTTTAACACACTAAGCCATATTACACTCGCTAATCACTAAGCACAGTTTCTACCCCTCTAACTCAATAAGCAGTAGGTTCTACCCCCTAACTCATAACATGTCTACTACCTCTCTAATCACTAAGCATGTTACTACCCTCTAACACAACTAAAACTAGTCTATACCCCGCTAATCCTAAGCATAGTTACTAACCCCCCAATCAATAGCGTAGTCTACTATCCTTAAACTCATAAGACTAGTCTATACCCTCAACCACTAAGCACTAGTCACTACCCCTTTAACTCACTAAGGGACTAAATACATCCCTCTAACTACTAGCACTAGTCTACATCCCTTAACTCACTAAGCACAGTTACTACCTCTACTCACTAAGCACTAGTCTACTACCCCTCCCAATCACTAAGCACAGGTTCTACTCAACTCACTAAGCATTAGTCTACTATCCCTCTAACTCACTAAGCACTAGTCTACTACCCCTCTACTCGCTAAGCATAGGGCTACTTCCTTCTAACTCATTAGCACTAGTTTAACACCCCTCTAACTCACTAAGCCCCTAGTCTATACCCTTCTAATCACTAAGCACTAGTCTACTATCCCAACCCCTCAATCCCCTAAGCAATAGTCTACTAAAACCCCTCCCAAATCACTAGCACTGTCACACCCCTCTAACTCCTAAGACATTACTATCCATCTAACTCACTAAGCCCCTAGTCTACTTCCCTCTAACTCACTAAGCACTAGTCTACTATCCCCCTAACTCACTAAGCATAATACTACCCCCCTAACTCACTAAGCACTAGTTCTTTCTACCCTTAATACTAAGCACTAATATACTACCCTCTAACTCACTAAGCACTAGTCTATATCCTACTCCCACTAACACTAGTCTACTATCCCTCTAAACTCACTAAGCACTAGTCTACTACCCCTCTAACTCACTAACATAGTCTACTATCCCCAACTCACTAAGCTCTAGTCTACTACCCTCTCAACTCACTAAGCACGAGTCTACTATCCCTCTAACTCACTAAGCCACTAGTCTACTATCCCTCTAATCACTAAGCACTAGTCTACTACCCTTAAATCACTAAGCACTAGTTACTATCCTCTAATCACTAAGCACTAGTCTACTATCATCAACTCACTAAGCAAATAGTCGCTTCCCCTCTAACTCACTAAGCACTATCTAAATACCTCTACTCACTAAGCACTAGTCTACTATCCCTCTAACTCACTAAGCACTAGTCTACATCCCTTCTAACTCACTAAGCACTAATTACTACCCCTCTAACTCACTAAGCACTAGTTTTACTACCCTTAACTCACTAAACACTTTGTCTACTACCCCTCTAAAATCACTAACACTAGTCTACTATCCCTCTAACTATTTAAGCACTGTCTACATCCCTCTAACTCACTAAGCACTAATATACTACCCCTCTAACTCACTAAGCACTAGTCTACGATCCCTCTAACTCACTAACACTAGTCTACTATCCTCTAACTCCTAAGCACTAGTCTACTATCCTCTAACCTAACATAAGCACTATATACACTACCCCTCTAAACTCATAAGCACTAGTCTACTATCCCTCTAACTCACTAAGCAACTAATATACTACCCAATAACTCACTAAGCACAGTCTACTATCCCTCTAATCATAACACTAGTCTACTATCCCTCTAACTCACTAGCACTAGTCTACTATCCCTCTAACTCACTAAGCACTAGTCTACTACCACTCTAACTCACTAAGCACTAGTCTACTACCCCTCTAACTCACTAAGCACTAGTCTACTATCCCTCTAACTCACTAAGCACTAGTCTACTATCCTCTAATCACTAAGCACTAGTCTACTATCCTCTAACTCACTAAGCACTAGTCCTACTATCCCTCTAACTCACTAAGCACTAGTCTACTATCCCTCTAATCCCTAAGCACTAGTCTACTTTCCTTCTAACTCACTAAGCACTAGTCTACTATCCTTTTAACTCACTAAGCACTAGTCTACTATCCCTCTAACTCACTAAGCACTAGTCTACTACCCCTCTAACTCACTAGCACTAGTCTACTATCCCTCTAACTCACTAAGCACTAGTCTACTATCCTTCTAACTCACTAAGCACTAGTCTACTATCCCTCTAACTCACTAACACTAGTCTACTACCCCTCTAACTCACTAAGCACTAGTCTACTACCCCTCTAACTCACTAAGCACTAGTCTACTATCCCTCTAACTCACTAAGCACTAGTCTACTATCCCTCTAACTCACTAAGCACTAGTCTACTATCCCTCTAACTCACTAACACTAGTCTACTACCCCTCTAACTCACTAAGCACTAGTCTACTACCCCTCTAACTCACTAAGCACTAGTCTACTATCCTTCTAACACACTAAGCACTAGTCTACTACCCCTCTAACTCATTAAGCACTAGTCTACTATCCCTCTAACTCACTAAGGACTAGTCTACTATCCTTTAACTCACTAAGCACTAGTCTATTATCCTACCCCTCTAACTCACTAAGCACTATTACTATCCCTCTAACTCACAAGCATAGTCACTATCCTTCTAATCATAAGAAATAGTCTACTACCCCTCTAACTCACTAAGCATAGTCTACTACCCCTCTAACTAATTAAGGCACTAGTCTACTATCCCCCTAACACACTAAGCACTATCTAAATATCCCTCTAACTCACTTAACACTAGGCTACTACCCCTCTAAAATCACTAAGCACTAGTTACTATCCCTCTAATCACTAAGCACTAGTTACTATCCCTCTAAAATCACTAAGCACTAGTTACATCCCTCTAACTCACTAAGTACTAGTCTACTATCCCTCTAACTCACTAAGCATAGTCTACTATCCCTCTAATCACTAAGCATAGTCTACTACCCCTCTAATCACTAAGCACTAGTCTACTTCCCTTTTAATCAACTAAGCACAGGGCTAACCACCCACTATCTCCCTTTCCTCCCTCCTTTCCTCCCTCCTTTCCTACCCTTCTAACTCACTACAAGGACTACTACCCCTAATGCCTGTGTTTAGGCTTAGTCTAATTCTCTAGTGGCCCATTTTATCCATTACCCAGAGGCTGGTCATTACCCTGGTCTGGGGCTGCAGTTAACTGGCTAATTTATGATCTGAAAGAGTCAGGTCAGCTCAGTAAGTGGGACCATCATGGGACTGGACAGACAGACAAACAGACAGACAGACAGACAGACTGGACATACAGACATACAGACATACAGACATACAGACAGACAGACAGACAGACAGACAGACAGACAGACAGACAGACAGACAGACAGGACAGACAGACAGGACAGACAGACTGGACAGACAGACAGACAGACAGACAGACAGACAGACAGACAGACAGACAGACAGACAGACAGACAGACAGACAGACAGACAGACAGACAGGCAGACAGACAGACAGACAGACAGACTGGACAGACAGACAGACAGACAGACGGGACAGTCAGACAGACAGACAGGCTGGACAGACAGTTAGTCAGTCAGACAGACAGACAGACAGACAGACATACATACAGACAGACAGACAGACAGGACAGACAGTCAGACAGACATACAGACAGACAGACAGACAGACAAACAGACAAACAGACAGACAGACAGACAGACAGACTGGACAGACATACAGACAGACAGACAGACAGACGGGACAGTCAGACAGACAGACAGGCTGGACAGACAGACAGACAGACAGACAGACAGACAGACAGACAGACAGACAGACAGACAGACAGACAGACAGACAGACAGACAGACAGACAGACAGACAGACAGACAGACAGACAGACAGACAGACAGACAGACAGACAGAGATACAGACCTCTAACACTGGACTCCCCTGTTCTAGGATCAGTTTTGCATTTATATCATTATGAATTATATTACATGGACAGGGGGATCTGATCCTAGATCAGCACTCCTATTCCACGATGCTTGATCCTTTATGGCCCCATGAGTAATCTGACTTGACAGCACAGTCTGACTACTCCTGAAATATAGCCTGGCTGCTGCATGGTCCCAGGCTGTAACTCCTAAAATATAGCCTGGCTGCTGCATGGTCCCAGGCTGTAACTCCTGAAATATAGCCTGGCTGCTGCATGGTCCCAGGCTGTAACTCCAGAACTATAACCTGGCTGCTTTAGCTGCATGGTCCCAGGCTGTAGATAGTTATGTCGCTAGGTAATGCAGGTCTGGGCTGTGACTGACAGGGGACTATGTACTTAGAGCCACAGTCTGCCTGTGGAATCACCATAGAGCCACCTGTCTGTCTGTCTGTGCTGGGCTTAGCTAACTGGGCCTAGACAGTGGGATGCTGTACATACCAGGGCTGTGAAATTACACCTATTCGTGCACTTCTTTTGACAAGAGCTATAAGTGGAATAGGAAGCCTGTCAAAATGCAGTGCACTATATAGGGAATATGGAGGCTCTGGACAAATGTAGTGGACTACATAGGGTGCCATTTCAGACGCAGCCCAGGACCGTCCTGTCTGCTCCCTGTGAATGTATGAATCACACATTTTACATTTACATTTTAGTCATTTAGCAGACGCTCTTATCCAGAGCGACTTACAGTTAGTGAGTGCATACATTTTCATACTGGCCCCCCGTGGGAAACGAACCCACAACCCTGGCGTTGCAAGCGCCATGCTCTACCAACTGAGCTACAGGGGACGTAGCACACCATGCTCAAAATTGTCAAAGACTCCAGCCACCCTAGTCATAGACTGTTCTCTCTGCTACCGCACGGCAAGCGGTACCGGAGTGCCAAGTCTAGGTCCAAAAGACTTCTCAACAGCTTCTACCCCCAAGCCATAAGACTCCTGAACAGCTAATCATGGCTACCCGGACTATTTGCACTGCCCCACCACCCCCACCCCCCACCCCATCTTTTTACGCTGCTGCTACTCTGTTAATTATTTATGCATAGTCACTTTAACTCTACCCACATGTACATATTACTTCAACTACCTCAACTAGCTGGTGCCCCCGCACATTGACTCTGCACCGGTACCCCCCATATATAGCCTCCCTACTGTTATTTTATTTTACTTCTGCTCTTTTTTTCTCAACACTTTTTTGTTGTTGTTTTATTTTACTTTTTTATTAAAAAATAAATGCACTGTTGGTTAAGGGCTGTAAGTAAGCATTTCACTGTAATGTCTGCACCTGTTGTATTCGGCGCATGTGGCCAATAAAATTTGATTTGATTTGATTTGTATGTGCCTTAGCCCAATACTAACGTCTCCACCTCTCCTCTCCTCTCCTCCTCATGGAGTGCTTCACAGTCCTGTCTTTCCCTGTGTGTATGATAACAAACGTCTCCACCTCTCCATCTCTTCTCTCCTCAGAGACCTGATGCCTGAGACCCTGGAGGGTCAGATCACCATGGAGAAAACCCCCAGCTACTACGTCACTAAAGACGTCCCCGCCCGTATCCACACCATGTCCCCAGACACCAGGCTGATCGTGGTGGTCCGAGACCCCGTCACCAGGGCCATCTCAGACTACACCCAGACCCGCTCCAAGAAACCTGACATCCCCTCCTTTGAGAGCCTCACCTTCAAGAACAGGACTATGGGTCTCATCGATACGTCCTGGAGCGCCGTCCAGATCGGGATGTATGCCAAGCACCTAGAACGCTGGCTGCAGTACTTCCCCAGGGACCAGCTCCTCTTCATCAGTGGGGAGAGGTTGATCTCCGACCCGGCCGGAGAGATGGCCCGCGTACAGGACTTCCTGGGGCTTAGGAGGGTGGTTAGTCACAAACACTTTCACTTCAACCCAGCCAAGGGCTTCCCCTGTCTGAAGAGGCCGGAGGGGAATAGTAAGCCTCACTGTCTGGGGAAGACCAAAGGAAGGACTCATCCTAATATTGACCCGGAGGTGGTACAGAGGCTGAGGGAGTTTTACCAACCTTTTAACAGGAGGTTTTATCAGATGACGGGACATTACTTTGGATGGGGCAGAGGCTGAGGGAGTTTTATCAACCTTTAAACAGGAGGTTTTATCAGATGACGGGACATTACTTTGGATGGGGCAGAGGCTGAGGGAGTTTTATCAACCTTTAAACAGGAGGTTCTATCATTTACATTTTAGTCATTTAGCAGACGCTCTTATCCAGAGCGACTTACAGGAGCATTTAGGGTTAAGTGCCTTGCTTAAGGGCACATCGACAGATTTTTCACCTAGTCGGCTCAGGGATTAGAACCAGCGACCTTTCGGTTACTGGCACAACGCTCTTACCCACTAAGCTACCTGCCGCCCTATCAGATGACGGGACATTACTTTGGATGGGGCAGAGGCTGAGGGAGTTTTCTCAACCTTTAAACAGGAGGTTTTATCAGATGACGGGACATTACTTTGGATGGGGCAGAGGCTGAGGGAGTTTTATCAACATTTTAATAGGAGGTTTTATCAGATGACGGGACATTACTTTGGATGGGGCAGAGGCTGAGGGAGTTTTCTCAACCTTTAAACAGGAGGTTTTATCAGATGACGGGACATTACTTTGGATGGGGCAGAGGCTGAGGGAGTTTTATCAACATTTTAACAGGAGGTTTTATCAGATGACGGGACATTACTTTGGATGGGGCAGAGGCTGAGGGAGTTTTATCAACCTTTAAACAGGAGGTTTTATCAGATGACGGGACATTACTTTGGATGGGGCAGAGGCTGAGGGAGTTTTATCAACCTTTAAACAGGAGGTTTTATCAGATGACGGGACATTACTTTGGATGGGGCAGAGGCTGAGGGAGTTTTATCAACCTTTAAACAGGAGGTTTTATCAGATGACGGGACATTACTTTGGATGGGGCAGAGGCTGAGGGAGTTTTATCAACCTTTAAACAGGAGGTTTTATCAGATGACGGGACATTACTTTGGATGGGGCAGAGGCTGAGGGAGTTTTATCAACATTTTAACAGGAGGTTTATCAGATGACAGGACATGACTTTGGATGGGGTTCATGGAGCTGAGAGACAAAACATGATAGACGGAGACATTGAGTGAATCCGAAATGCCACCCTATTCCCTTTGTAATGCACTACCCTGGTCAATGGTAGTGCACTATATTACAGGACAAAATGCCACCCTGTTCCCTTTGTAATGCACTACCCTGGTCAATAGAAGTGCACTATATTATAGGACAAAATGGCACCCTATATTCCTTATATTGTACATGATTCATGCTCAAATGTAGTGCACTACTGAGGTATTAAGGTGCCCTTTCAGACAGAGACATTGTGTTTTTCTTTGGGGTGTTTTTTGGTTGTAATTGTAACATTTTGGAGATATTGTTATACTATGTATATAGGGCAGCGTGTGTAAAAAGTACAGAAGTCTATTTTATGATAATTTATTTCTATGATATTATGAACTCACTGAGCTGCCTATCCATGTTTGTTGATGATCGTCACAATCTTTACTTTCCTGTTTTTAAATCTTCATTTGAGGCCATTTTGTAATCTTGAAATTACCTCTGAAAAATACACGTGCAGGAATTGTGGAAATGAAAATAAAAAATCACAATTCTGTTACAGGTCGTAGCGCTCAACAAGCAGGGTTAGGTTAGAGCTATTGTTTCCCTTTAAAACATTGAACATACATATACATGTACATGCTATTACTTTACAATGCTGCATTAGCTCAATCTCCCTACCTTTACTCGTTGGTTTTTAAGATGGCTGTGCGAACCAGGCCATACCACACCATCTCAGCAAAAACGGTTCAATCACAAAAGTTGGTAGTAAAAATATTGTAACGACTGGAAAATTAGTGTTGGGTCATTGAACACGGAGACATCTCTCTAGCCTCTTTGTTTTAAAAACCACTCAAGGAGTCCAAACAGACCATCATTTACCTCCTTAAGATCAGCCTGACCTCCAGTTTATCCACCAGATCAATATATAGGGCCCCAGCTGATCCAGTCAGGCTGTGTCCCAAATGGCACCCTATTCCCTTAATCACACACTACTTATGACCAGGGCCCATAGGACATTTAGGGAATAGGGTACCATCTGGGATGCACTCCCAGTGTCACTATAACAGGTATATCTATCAATACGGTAATAACTCATCATCACATCTATTACACGTGAGTGATGTCACATTACAGCTGAGTGATGTCACAGTGCGGTCTCTGGAGTCTACTGCTATAAAACAAGGATCCATCAAAAGGTTAATTGGAGTTAACGTATGTTGGGACCTTGTGACCACAGTTCCAGATTCAAGGCGCTTCTGAAGGGCAAGCTATTTAGGAAGCTTTACGTTACTGTCATAGTCATTAGCGCCCCTCCTATTTCCTCTGTTTGCTGAAGCCAGTTGGCCTACCTAAACTCCAATCTTTACATTTGTTGTGATGTTACAACAATACATGCAGTCTTTTTGAGGAGAAGCCATCACCTTTTCAGGTTTCATAATCCATTCTTCACGAGCAGTGAGGTTTACTTGTGTAACGATATGATGAGACTATTCAGGGATGATGAGCTGATCATGATACAGTATAATGTTATCATCACAGCCCGCTGTAGTGCTGTTAGGTAAAGTTAACATGACTGCTGTTGGACCAGATGTTATCATCACAGCCCGCTGTAGTGCTGTTAGGTAAAGTTAACATGACTGCTGTTGGACCAGATGTTATCATCACAGCCCGCTGTAGTGCTGTTAGGTAAAGTTAACATGACTGCTGTTGGACCAGATGTTATCATCACAGCCCGCTGTAGTGCTGTTAGGTAAAGTTAACATGACTGCTGTTGGACCAGATGTTATCATCACAGCCCTCTGTTGTCCTGTTAGGTAAAGTTAACAGGACTGCTGTTGGACCAGACAGCATTTATTGGGAATTCAGTTTGGTGGTTTGTTATGTTATTGTTGTTGAAAGGGAAATTCAAAGGCTGGGATTCAATCCGATCGAGTGTTGCAGTGCGCTTGACGTTTAAAAGGTAATTTCTGATTGAGCCAACAAATGCAGCGTTTACCGTGAATGTCATCTCTGTGAAAGCGGGAACATTGCCTTTAAATCTCTGTGATCGTGTGCAGCGCTGTAACGAGCCTTGAATTTAATTGTGACCAAAGTCTTGCTATTCAGGGCTCACAATTCCTTTCTTCTAAGTCTGTGTATGGTTGAATTGTTTTCAACCCTATACAGAGAGATACACCAATGCCAATGATCTTACCCATGAAATATGATGATAATGTATTGATAAAAGTCTGTATAGGTACATGAACAAATCCAACTATTTTGCTGTTTATTTTCCATTTTACAAAGATGTAAATGAGGCCGTTGTGACTGAAGAGCGACTAAAATAGCGTTCTTCTTGTCATTTCTTTGAAGTAAGAAATATATCTATTTTACCAAAACCAAATGATCCTCTGATTGTCAAATTGTCATATAACTACACTACACCGCTTTAAAAAAAACGTTGACATGTGTTATAACTACATTATAAACACCTTATACAGTCTTATAACCAGCTTATGACCACCTTATAAAGCCCCTGTCATGTTCTCTCCTTATTGTCTTCAGTGACTCTACGTCCTTGGAGGCATAGCACTGAGCACAGTGGCACCAGAGGGCTTGTCTGACACTTCCTGTACCTCATTAGCCAGACAGCTTAATGAGCGCAGTTAGCATAATGTTAGCGTTAGCGATTCAATGCAACACTACCATCGGTGTGCTTGTCGCCATGGTCACAGCACCATTTGTCAGGTCCCTCTCTAAGCAGGAGAAGAGACAGACGATCGAAACACTGCCATTCCTCTGAGACTCTGCTATTTGATAACACCTGACACTGTGAAGTAGTAACGTCAGGTCAACACGATTGTTCAGTTTTTCAATAAGTCATTTTTTCGAAGCCCCTGTGAATGTGTTTTGTGTGGGAGTGAATTGAACATGATGACTATAATTGTACCTGTATGGATGAGTACAGTATATATATATAGTACCTGTATGGATGTGGACAGTATATATATAGCACAATGTATGGATGAGTATAGTATTTATATAGTACCTGTATGGATGAGTACAGTATGTATACTATGTCATTGTCTCTGAACCCAGAGGCATGACTTTGGAGGCCATGCCTGTAGGAACTGAATGAGATAAGGTTAGTTGAGGTAAACGCCAGTTTACTCTTTTACACAACCGCGTTTGTGTGTGTGTGTGTGTGTCTGTGTGTGTGTACATGTTTGCATATTAGTGTGTCTGCATTATGTTTCATTTAATCAGGTTCTATTGAGAGCCTTGATAAATGCTTAATTTGTTAACAAGCCTCAGCATCCGCTGTTCTCTCTAGACATCATAAAAAGACATCTGAGATACTTAGTTAAAAGAAATATGATATGTGGCTGTTTTACCTACCTTTGCTGAATGCAACGATTGTAAGTCAATCTGGATAAGAGCGTCTGCTAATTAACATGACTAGAATGTATATGTGAATGTAAAAAACCTTCTGTACATTCTCAAACTGCTCATGATATCTCACAGAATAGTT